CTGTCAGGAAATTTCTCATTAGTTCTAGGTTGCTTTTCTCCTTGATTAGTTTCCATCCATTGCTTCTTGTCCTGCCTTCAGGCGCTTTGGAGAATAGCTTGACTCCCTCTTCTTTGTGGCAGCCCCTGAGATGTTGGAACACTGCTATCATGTCCCCCCTCGTCCTTCTCTTCATTAAACTAGACCCAGGGGTAGGCAACCTCGGCTCTTTTATGACTTATGGACTTCAACTCCCAGAATTCCTGAGTCAGCTATGCTGACTCAGGAATTCTGGGAGTTGAAGTCCACGAGTCATAAAAGAGCCGAGGTTGCCTACCCCTGAACTAGACATACCCAATTCCAGCAGCCGTTCCTTATATGTTTTAGCCTCCAGTCCCCTAATCATCCCCGCCCTCTGTTGAGGGAGGAATGTTCAATTTTGAAATTCTTCCATTCCCCACCATCCAGAGCTAAAGAAGCTTTTTGGATGAGAAGCGAAACGTCTTCAAAAAAAAAACCCAATAAAGTCCAGTTGCCTCGTGAACAAGCACTTTTGGGACAACCGTGACCTGGATGACTGAGAATCCTCCATAGATCACCTCTTCCTTCTTTCCTGTTGCGCTTTGCCCCAAATTTGGCAGCCCTCCGCAGTTGCTGCTTTTTACTCCTGGCGTGTCCCCAGCAGATCACAAAGCTGTTAACAACGGTAGCGAGAGAGAAAAAAAAAAAACCGGCAGGTAAATTTATTTGCCTCTCCCTTGTTCCGGTCTGCGCATAAAAATGCTTGGTCGCCTCGCAGGGCACAGCAGAGAAAAACGCGAAGAAATTCCTCCGCGCCACGATCCGGCCTGGCCTTCCGAGGACCGCGAGGGAAGCTTCCCCGCCCTAGGCAGACCCAGAGCTCCACCTGAGCGTGCAGCGCCCGAGAGTTTCTTGCCTCTGCCCGCGTTTTGCAGCGTTGAGCCTAAATGACAGCCGGCCGGGCTCGCCAGCAAAAGGGCAAATTGGAGCCCGCCGAGTCCGGCCATACTGGAGAAACAGCTTCCCGCGATTTTTTTTTTTTTTTCGTCGTCGTCGCCACCGCCCCCCCCCCCATCCAACCAAATCGCTGTGGCCAATTACAAAAAGCGGACGACTTTGTTCGCAAGGCAAACCCCAGGCCAGGGGTAGGCAACCTTGGCTCTTTTATGACTCGTGGACTTCAACTCCCAGAATTCCTGAGCCAGCCATGCTGAGGGGAAAAGGAGAGGTTTCCAAGCTGAGAGCCATGCGGGCTCAGGAATTCTGGGAGTTGAAGTCCCCGAGTCATAAAAGAGCCAAGGTTGCCTACCCCTGCCCCAGGCCAACCGCACAAAAAAAAAACGTAGAAGCAAAGTTGATTCCGGAACTTTCTTCCACTTTAAGACGGGTGGACTTCAACTCCCAGAATTCCCCGGTCGAGAGGCTGCTCAGATTGACAGAGTCCAAATCACCACCCGCCTTAAGTTTGTTTGAGGATCCTTTTTACAGCTCTTTTGGGTCCCCACAGTACCTCCACAAGGCCAGTTCCCTCGCACGCCCGAGATTGTTCGCGCTACGGAGGGGGGGTCGATTCTTTGCCACCGGTGCC